ATAAATTAAATCAATAAGGATCATGTTTTTACTTAAATAACCAAATTCATTAAGATTCTCCTTAAAATAGAAAATATTTAGTGAAATAACGCTAATTTAGTAAGATTAGGCTTAATAAAATCCCAAAAATAACCAAAACAGTTATAAAAATCCGTACAATTGTATGGTAATTATTAACAAAAACATCTTTAAGGGTCCAAACCAAAAAATCCCTATGAAATTCTATGAACTTGTATAAAAGTTACAATGATTATCCCATATAGCCTAACAATTTTCAAGATAAGAAGTCATTATTATCCAACAATAAATGAGGTAATTTTTTACCGTAATTTAACTTCTCCTACAAGTTTTATTAATTTGATATATAATATATCTATTAACAACAATTTTTAACTGACTTGGAGAAGAAAAACCCCATCAAATTCCATCGGAAGCTAAATAAGTTATGACATAATCAATTATAATGGCCCATTTACAGCCCAAAAGGGAGAAAACTGGGGAAAATTTGGACCTGTTTTGATTTTTCGGGTTTGCAAATTTAAAATTTAAAACGAATAAGTATTTCTATTACACAAAAAGATTTTTCCAATAAAATTTGAATACAATTTATTGGGGGTTTAAAAAAGAAAGATTTAAATCAAACCCAAATTTCCAACAAAAGTTTTTTTTTAAAAAATTATGGGAAAAAAGGGGAAATTTTTTAAAGTCAAAAAATGAAAATCCACAAAAAATAGCGGGGATTATTTTGGCTCCCCCCCTTTAAATAAAAAATACAAAATATGACTTATATGACACATATATTTTTTTAAACTTAGTTTTGTGAAATTTAAAAATCATATGAAAAGTGCTGTGATGGGTTCTACAAGGGTTAATAAATTCTAAAAAAAATTGCCCTTTAAAAACTATTTTAATTTAAAATTGATTTTTCACTCCTTAAATAACACTTATAACATGTCAGAAGAGAAAATTTAAACATAATATGATAAATGTTGAACCCTGATATAAATTATTTGTTACCTGGGTGCCAGACCATTATAACTTTAAACCTTCAATATTTGAGCCGCGTCATGACAAAACCAACATAAAGTGTTTGCGACCAGCATGGATTCAGACAAGCCTGCGCATCCACGCAGTCCGATCAGGATCCATGCTGTTCGCTATCAGTATCTCTACTTGTTATAGGGTTTGTAAACGAACAGCATGGATCCTGATCAGATTGAACGGATGCGCAGGCTTGTCTGGATCCATGCTGGTCGCAAACCCATTATGTTGGTTTTGTCATGATGCGGCTCATATATTGATAATCTTATTATTTTCTATATATCTCAATAAACTAGGTAATTTATAGTCGTTTTACTCCCTACAGTACGCGCCTCCTCCATGAAAAATAATAAGTTTAATATGTTTAATCTTCTTTTACTTTAAAAAAAAAATTTATTAGAAATTGTTTATTTAAGCTTAAATCTACCTTTCTTTTGATATATTAAAAAGACATGTTCAGATATAAAATAACATGTTGTACTTTATGTAGTTGTGCAAATATATGTATGTGTATGGCAATCTAATGCTAAATAACATTGTTAATTAATATTAGTTAATAGGAGAATGATAGACACCAAGAATTCGAGATTTGTGCAAAAAAAACAGATACGTTACCATTTTTCAATTGCTTTCAGAGACTAGATAAAACTACTTAGCATGAATATACACAATTTAGAAATTTATTATCATTCTTTCAACAATATAGCACCAGTATATATTACAAAATATTATGCATTTTAAAAAAAATCCACGTCGAACTGAAGCTGATGAAAATTGTTACTTATTAAAATCCCAAATACATGATTTACTTATAAAACCATTTTTAGGCCAATAAAAATACTGATGTTCCATACTTATCTATTGACACAATGTAGCTCGGATTTACTTAACAGTATAAATTTATTCCGCTAAGCGGAAAACGAATAATTAAATCATAGTAACGATATCTGTTTTCACCGTTCTACTACTATGAACAAAAATTATGAAAAACCCTGAAAAAACAATAAAATATTTGGTAACGTATCTGTTTGGTAACGTATCTGTTGGTCAAAAATCTAAAATATATCAGATAATACATATATGTTTGCCAAATAGATCAAATATTAAGTTTTATAAAGCATATATTTGAATAATGCATAAATGCGATCCTACTTTTAAGTGCTGGTAATAGTAAATGTTTTCTCAGTGGGATTATCATGATACTTTAAAGTATAATCCAAATTGCCTCATCATTGCAAAAGTCATTGTGGTTCTAGGCGTGTATATTGTATTCAAAATTATTTTTTGAATTATGAAATGTTCAATAGCAAACTATTAATATGTTACAAGTTCATATTACTCTTACTCAGGTTTACCATAAGTGTGGTAACGTAACTATCTGTTCAATATATGAGGGGACATGCATTCAAGCTGGTAACTTTTTTCCAAATTCACTGTAGAAAACAATAAAAATCATTCACTTAGCAGGGGCGTAACTGAGCTATTTTGATATGTACTCCTTAAATAGGGGGGTTCGGGGGCATGCTCCCCCTAGAAAATTTTTGTAGAGGAAGTGATATCCTGGTATTTCGTGACTATCTACAGGCTATATTGACAACATATTGGTGATGATTTAAAACTCTTTTTATTAAATTTAAAATATGTAAAATGAACAAATAAGTTATATATACCATAAAACTTTTCTAATATTTACAATTGATTTTTTTTTTGCAGCACAAATTTGTTATTTTGCGACTTTCAAACCGATGTTATAGCAACAAATCTCCCGTGTTCAGTAAATTTTAAAACTAAAAAAAAGCAACAAACAAACAAACCAACAAACAAAATCAAAGCACAGAAAGCGCTGAATTTGGGTCTCAGAATGTCAGAAAGGTGAAGGTTGTGAGATTATAAACCAATTTGTTTTTTGTATAGTGCCACCAATGATTTCCAGTGTTTTAACTGTAGTAAATTGGCTATAAAGACTAATTGCAACACTGATAGTCAATTCAATGTTTATTTTGACTTAAATTTTTTTTAGAAAAAATGAGTTGCCTCAACTGGGATTTGAACTGGAGACCTCACGATTCATAAGCGAGCGTGCAAACCCCTCGGCCACGGTGAAAATTATTAAGTTTACGACCTAAAAAAAACCAATATTAATTCCTAAAAATTAGGTTTTTTAACCCCTATTATTTCGACGTTAAACACAGATGTAAATAATCATGGAGCTTACTGTAAGCTTATATCTATAAAGAATGAAAAAATAATAGAAATCTTCGACCATTCGGGAACCAACTTTGCTTGAAATTAATGCGCAGTCATTTGACAATCTTTTACTCATTGAATCTCCCCCCTGAATTTTTTTCGGCGTTAGTTGTACATATTATAAGGGAAGTAATCGCTTCAAAAAAGTGGAATGACTTTAGGCATTTGCAATTAAACAGCAATTAGGCTCTTGAAATTTCGCTAACCATTTATTTGTTTGGTCCCGAACGACCCAAACAAATAAAATTATTTTTAATTAAATTTTCTTTGTAAAAATTCAAGATGAAAAATATGGTCTTGGGAAATCTCATGAAAAATGTGAACTTGCGTGGTATTGCTGGTACAGATGTAAAGTGTATGACTTCATAGAGTCCTCTCCATCTAAACAAACTACACTACAAAACTTATTTATGGAAACTGTTTGCTACGTTTATTTCAATGCTTCTTTTTTTAAAGTAAACAATAGCTGTAATAAATTCATCATCAATCATACATTTAGTTTTCATGTTTACCGGGATCCTACATATTACCAGACAAAATATGATGTTTTTTCGCTAATACTTTTATTTAAAACAATAAAAAGAATGGAATTTTACCCAAATGATTATGAGTTCTTAATACAAGTAAACATTACTTAAACAAACTTGAAATTAAACATTTGACTGTAGAGATGTGTCTTTAAAGTAGGGCATTATAAGAGAGAAGAAATCGTGTAGACAGCTCAATTTACCGGACATTGCGTTTCAAAATTTTTGAAGTCGTGAATTAAAATTAATCTTTAAAAAATCAGCAAGAAAACTACAACTATTGAAAGGCAAGGTTAAGATATTGGAAAAAAAACAGTTTGCCATTAAAACTAGACGCGGCAGCCATGCTTCTTACAAAGAGGCCAATATATGGGGTGTAATTGAAATAAACTTTTAATTCAATTAACATATTGATTCTTCATGAATCTTAAATGTATTAAACAATTTGATATTCAAATGGAATTCTTTTCTTTGTCATACAGTTTCCTTTTGGTCACCATGCAGCATGTTACAAAAGCCATAAAATCTATTTTATTTACATTTCATGTAGAGTTTCCTCCCATAGGTGTAATCCGTTTCCTTATATATGGCTTTTAATTTGCATTTCTTTGTAAACAACAACAACAAGATACTGTTTGGACTAAATTTAAAATTACTTTTTATCATTAAAATGTGTTACGATTGTCTCCTGAGATAACGTTGAGAAGAAATAAAAGTAAAACCTATCTAAAATAACCCATTTATTAATGGCCTCCATATTCGGGTATGCGCGGAACAGATTATTCCCCAGCATGAGCAGGTCATGAAATAACTAGTAAACAAACGGCATGCTAGTAAATAAAGAACCAAATCAACAATGCTTTTCTGATAGTGGTTTTGTTGTTATTTATTTTGAAAAAAAAGGATCCCAGTAATGTTTTATCTGCTTTTTTTGTTGAAAATTTTTTTAAACAATTAAATTGACCATGTTGGGGTTATCCATGAGTCAGAGTTATCACTCCAACAAGTAACATATATATATGAAACAACAAAATTAAATAACAACATTAAGTTTTACATTGACTATCTAACAAATAAATCAAGAGTATCATATTTAGAAAACATAGAAGGAAATTATTTAGTGGTTCCCAACCTAGTTCATATTTTTTAGTCGTTTTATACCAGTTGAAATCTCTATGCGTGGAAATCGCACAGGTACGAAATTGATGCGAAAGAAAAAAAAGTATTTTTTTAATGTTATTGATTTTATCATAAAGAGTTGAGTTTAAATGAAGATTCATTCAGAACAGATGTATTCAAGTATGTGATAACCACATACCGTTTTTGAAACAGGTAAACGTTATATCTGGTATTGATCGAAGGTTAACAGTTAATTAAACTATTTTGTTTTCGTACCCTAATATTTTCATACCATATTTATTATCTGTGTATAAAAAATAAAAATATTGTATATGAAAAGAAAATTTTCTCTTGAATTAGATGCAATTTAAGTTGTTATCAGTATATTTATTTTGAGTATTTAAAGAATGTTGATTGATTTTTTTTTTGTTATTACAGTGGCCTTCTGTAGGAAAAACAATTCTGTGTTGTTTCAAACTAAAGACTTTGGTCCAATAATTTTATCTTGGAATAGTGCATCATATCATTGTTAACCCTCTTTAAAATAACATCCTTACTGGTCGGGGACCATCAACCGGACACTTTTTGAACATGTTTCCATACAGATTTCATAATTTTTAACCTAGAGATAAGGGTAGACAGACGTTTCACTATTGAGACGGTTCACACCAAGACGGTTCACACTCCCTTTTTATACCAAAATTTTTCTAAGACTTATGATATACTAAAAATAAATAGACCTTAAATTTAATAAAAAATAATTATCTAAAAACTATTTTAATGGTCCAATAAACAACTGATTAGTAAACAGTTGATGCTAAAGTGCTGTTTATACAACTGATTTAATGGTGATGTCAAACTGTTAGTTGCTGGTCTCAGTGTTTATACAACTAATTAGGTGATGAGATTACTGTTTACACCACAATTACCTATGTTTGTTTAATGGCCACTGTTTAATAAATTGATAAAGAAATAATTCAAAAGAATAATTAACTTTATACACATCTTTTGCATATAATTGTTTAAGACTTACATGAAATAACAAATATTTTAATTTTATATTAATACACAATTGATATTTTTTTATTATTTTAACATTTATTTTTTTGATAAAAATAATTAATATAAAGGTAATGACATTACTTCCATGTGACTTATTTTTTAAGAAAGTACTTATGAAAATATTATTCTCAAGGATAAGCATAGTATAGTTTATATTATAGTTTATATAAGTATGAATTTCTTTTTAACAATTGTGTGTTTTATTTTAAATAACCAACCATACCTTTTATCATCACCTATTAAACCATTTTTCAATGCAACAAAAATATAAAAAAATGTATATTACAGAACTTTAATTGCTTATCTACAACAGAAAAACATATATCAATATAAATAATCAATCCTGCTATGGCTATTAAAAATGGAAATAAATTTGTTAACTTTCCTAAAAAATATATCTAAAAAATGGGAGTGAAACGTCCATACAATTGACAATTTGGGAGTGAAACGTCTAGGTGTGAACCGTCTTGGGAGTGAAACGTCTCAATAGTGAAATGTCTTGGGAGTGAAACGTCTGACATTCGAGATAAGAAAGATTGACACAGTTCAGCTAGGTTCTTCTCCGAACTAACAAACTAGTTTGTTTATTTCTGATTATATTGACACTTATATCTGAGGCTTGACAAAGAGGGTATCAAAAGTACCTAAATTGTATACACTACTGTACCATGTGTCCGGACAGATATGTACATGACGTGATTTTAATTCAGATAAAAGCTTGGGTGTTTTGATTTTTACATGATATACAATATTTCAGCAACAAATGCTGAAGTTTTTAATATCCCATTGTTTACTCTGCAAATGATTATAGCTGGTATATGAGGTCAGGCATTGCTTTCTTGACCCCTGCATTTCAATGTCAACATTCTTGAAATAGTCATTTAAATTAATTTAAAATATTACCATTTACGGAGGTTGAAATAAATTTATTTACTTAATTTTAGATGAAACAAACATTTATTGTTAATAAAAGTGACAGACAACCACTGAACAAAGAATATACTAAATTAAGCATTTTCAGGGCCGTCCGGGTTTGGTGGTTGTCCGGATTTGGTAGTCCCCAACCAGTAGAGCTATTTACAAGGTGTAAGTGGTGTTTGTTTCTAAAAATAGAATCTGGCAAACAAATCGTCCGCTTTACTAATTTAACCTTTTACCTGATTAAGACGTGTTTTTGCCCCCCCCTTTTGAGACCTCAAACAGTGAAAAAATGGCCTATTTAGGCCCCAAATAGTGTTTTTCGTTTGAGAAATGTTGTTAAAATATGACAGGCTAAAAATGGCCTCAGGTCGATCATAGGGTAACTAGTAACCGACGCTGAAAAGCCTTTTACACTATCTCCCCCCCCCCCCCCCCCCTTGTCATGGTAACAGGAAATTTACGATTGAGCATGCTATTACAGAGGCAGGGCCTTTTCGCTAGTTTTGGGGCAGGCGCCCTAGCCCTTTTTGTAGGAAAAAATGGGCGATTTTTACACTTTTGGGGAAAAAATCATATTTTCAAACATTTCAGGGGAATATCATAATCTATTTGCATATCTTCCTCCAATCACATTTAAGGTTTACTGTAGTACTAAGCTTTCTGTCCAACAGGAGTAAAAGATATTTTTTACAGATCAATTTATTGCCCCTTTATATAAACTCATATTTCCTAATTATAGAATTTTACGTAGGTCATGTGAGGGTTCTTGGTTTGATTCAGAGTGTACATTATAATTATTATCAGTTCCCACTGTATTACTGGCACTGTTGTGCTAGGCTCGCTATTTCCGACACTTGGGCATGTTGTGATACTCGGACACATGGGCTTGCTAGGGGATAAATGTATTGGATACTGTTGCACTTACAAGGTCATCAATTCATCCAATTTCTAATAAACAATTACAAACGTCACTCAATCGTATTTTCTTCTTGTTCTGTGAAATTGTTTACATTAGCGACATCGTATTGGTCGCCATATTGTCGTAAAAAATCACATGTGCACTAAAAAATAAGGCATCAAGCTTTTCCCATATTGTTTTTAGAAAATTGCAAACTCATACTGAGGCTCTGAGTTAACATCAATTGTATTAAATCAAGGTATCCCTCTATTGGGTAATTGAATTATTAGCTTTCATTGCACAAAACAATTATCTTTTTTTAACAAGAAAGTTTGTTTACAAGTTTTATTCTTCAGTTTGTCTTTTCTTTTAAAGGGAAAATATTTGCCAGAAGGGGAATTTTAGACTGTTTTTTGGGGAAAAAGAAGTAGTAATTTGGCGTGGGGAAGTAGCCTGATACCGGCTACAGCAAAGAAGGGTAAAAAGGCCCTGAGAGGCTATGGTCCAGTCAACATTTGTGCCATGTTTCATCAGTATTGAAGCATTTTTGATAGTTTCATAGCAGTTTGAACTTGTAACAGGAGGCTTTTCAATGAAAACAGCCATTTTTCACAATATGCTCATGGGGTAAAAGGTTAATAAAAAATTATCATCAACAGATTTTATCCTCCAACTTAATTCTTTGGATTTGACACATCACAGTTATATGAATTGATTTATCTAAATGAATTGAGTTATCTAAATATATTAAATTTAACCTTTAAGGCGCAAAAACTTTTACAAATAGGGTACTGGTGTCCTAGCATTTTCTGTAACCTAGCATTTTTCCAGCCTTTTTATCATTTTCATCCAGTAAAGTGTATTTTTACTAAAAGAGCATATGTGTTAGTTCATCAAATCATAGAGACATTTGTTTAAAAGGCAACATAGCAGTTAAAATAGTACAGCTGTTATATGCTTACATGTTTTTTGAAAATTAATGCCTTTTGACTGTTATTAAAATTTACTTTGAGAATTTAAGAATAAGTAACACCTTGGAAATTTCAGTTTGAAATCTCATGTGCAATAATTTCAATATTTAACATTGTTAAGTTTTATTATAGTAATTATAAATTTCATTTTTGTCATGAAGTTGGCGTCCCTGTGGTTAAGTTTTTGCGTGTAAGCTGGTATCTCCATAACTACTGTAGGGAATGAATTGAAACTTCACACACTTGTTCTCTGTGATTATCTTACATGATTGGCACAAGTCCCATAACTCTTGATTTGTTTTTTTCATAATTATGCCCCTTTTTGGGCTTAGAAATTCTTGGTTAAAGTTTTGCTTGTAAGCTGGTATCTCCATAAGTACTGAAGGGTTTGTGCCTTTTTGGGACAATTTTATGCATTCATAATATTAAAGCAGTGATTTACTAGATAAAGCATCTTAATAACAAGCTTTTGTACCTTTTTGGACAATTTTATGTATTCATATAGGTAAGCATTATCATACATGATGAAACACCCTTGTGACAACTTTTCGAATAGTCAAGCATTACTGTACTCCGACAGTTCTTGTTATAGATCTGCTTTTGCCATATTTTCTTCTGAATATTGATGGAGATACAGTGCGCTTGATAAGATTTTTAATCTGTCCCTTTCTCTGAGTTACATGAACATTGGTGGGAGTGATGTTATCACTCAGGTGATGTCTTCAATAATTATTGCAGCCTCCATATGAGTTTATTTGCATAAAAAGATTATCATCTCAAGAATCTTGTTATGTTCAGAATACTTTGCTTTTTTCAGATTGTAAAAAAAACAGAAACTGGCCATATCTGAAAATTTCATTATGTAATTTCTATTACATGTAAGGTTAGTAGATGCTCATTTTGAAATTATACATTTATAATAAATATAAAATTATGATTCTATAATTATATCAGGTAGATTTCTTTGTAGAGTTTTTAAGCAAGACAATTTGATCAATCTGTGTAAAATTATTCATACATGTAGCATGTTCAATCCATTTGATTTTCAAAATAGTTACACGTATGGCACTTAGATTGTCTTTAAATTTATCTTCAAAAAATATGCTTTTTCAACAATGCACATAAGACATTCTCCCAATATCTGTAGAAAATTGTCATGACATTTAGATTTTCTTTCAATTTATCTTCAGAAACTATATTTTTCTTTGGGTTGCACTTGAGAATTTCTCCTATATTAATTTTGTACTTTCATAAGGCTATTCCTTCTTTTTTTTGACAATAACAGTAAGTAGACCTACCTCAATTTTCTTCAGATACTGGAGGTTTGATAGGTCAAATTTCAAAATTTATTTCATGGCATGTTTGATCATTGTTATTGATTTATTTCTCCCTCTCTCTCAAAGTGAAGGAATTTAATTTATTATCAAGATTGTAAAATGCAGACAATGATATAGCATTTAAATAATTGATGAAGTTTTGTACATCAAGAAATGTTGATAAAGAAAGTCTGCTGAATTTTGCCAGATACACATCTATAAAGTATACAGAGTAGTTAGTAAATAGTTGATTCATTCAAAGGTCTCATCAATCAAATAACTGTAAAAAGGAAATTATACTTGCCTATGTCAAAATACTTTTGGCATAAAAACCATAAGGATTGTTGCTTTAATCAAAAAATCAGTCTTCTGGTCGAGTTTTTATTTTATTTTGTGTCTGTGGTTTTGGAAAATTCTTGTATCGATGAACTTTGGTAGAGCATGCTCTTCTTGTTTTTGCCAACAAAATTATTTTATGAAGATATGAATATCTGTGTTTCGATATTTTAATTTAAACTTATTTGAAATGTTGGTATATTTTAAAAAATAGACTATTATTATTTCACAGTCTATTACATGTTGGTTAACTTACGATATTTAATATTTAGTATCTTCGTGTACATCTGTGTAATAGGAGTGTTAAACACCTTTAACGTTATTACTGGTACCCTTATTTAATCCTTGTGGTGTATGCTTTTTTTTCGTGTTGCCCACCAATGTCCATGGTTCTACTTGAAAATTGTAAATTTGTAAATGATTTTCTGCTCAGTATTAGGTATTTACTAATTACTTGTGTGCAAAATTTCAAATAATTTGTTCACTTCATTTCTCAGAGTAATCAACTTGATTGTGCAAAATGACATAATGAAAAGCATTTATTAAAGGCTTTTAACTGAAATCAGACTAAGAATGGCATAAGATATTGACATTCTTAAAGTATATTTCCTTAAAATCTTAATCTTAATGTGTCCATGGCTAAATATTACATGTGTCCATGGTTTTCCTTATATGTGCATGGCTTATATTTAATATCTAGATAACTTTAGTGTTCATTTTACCTCAAATTTGAACATATAAAAAGGACCATGGTTTTTTCAAAGGACCCAGTGTGTTTGTAGCTTCATGGGTTTTTTGTGTCCATAGTTTTACTGAGAAATTAAGTGTGTCCATGGCTTTAAAAGACTTGTTTTACTTCAGTGTCAAATATTTATGACAAAGGCCTAATTTTTATTATTTGTCCCTAGGTAAAAGCTGGTAAATTGAAAGTTCTTCTTTACTTATTTTAAATTTCTCTGATTTGTGAATGGTTTAACAAAATTTAGCTAAAAGCTTAAATGGTATATGTAATGACCCCACCAGTATATTGCATTTCTGTATCAGAATGGAACTTATCATACTGCTTGTAGAAGACTTCAATGAGGTCAGTTACAGACCAGAAGGGAATGATTTGACTGTATTACAAGAATTGAAAGATAATTTGTCTTGGCTGCTGAATGCTTTAAGTAACTAACAAGATTTGTCTGGTAATGTTAATCAACATTTAAATTAAGCCTCACCTCCCCTCACATCTTCACTTGGAAAATTGAATTACTTCATTATTTTCCTACAGAATTTGTTCAGAATTTTTATGTTTGCTGGAAGGGTTTCATTTAGGCTTGGAGTACTAAAATTGACAGAAGGTTTAGTGATTTATCCATTCATTTTGAATTGTTAGACATAATGTGCTTATGCAAATGTAGTTACATATTTATTTTTTTGTAAAAGATTGTTTTATTTAATTTTATACCCTCAAATTTTCACCTTAACTAGGGGATGCACTGAACCCATGCTATCCTTATACTGTCTCAAGGTCAATGTCACATTTTCAGGTTTAATGACAGAATGCCAGATATCAGAAAATTTTGTGTTCCATCATACCTATCTGAGGATTTCCTTTAAACTTGGCTCAAATGTTCACCTCAGCATGCAAGGCTAAATGTGGAAACCTTCACCATCTTTGAGACCTTTCAAGGTAAAATATCAGTAAAATATCAGACTGTGAACCAGTAGTCAGACAAGTTCATGACTGCTCTAAAAATTCCATACCCATTTAAGGATTTTCTTTCCAGTTTGTTCCTTTCCAGTTTGTTCCATTATGTTCAATTCAAAAAGATGAGATTCGCATATGGGAATTCAATAAAGTTTTAAAATTCATCAAGGACCAGTCAAAAGATAGGCATGCTCTTGGGAAAGTTTGATCTACATTTCCATTTCCTCTGTTACTTGGGCCTCTTGTTGAGAAATATTTCTTACATGTACATACATGTAAGAAAGATGTACATAACAAGAGTATTGGTTAAAGTCCTTTGTCCAATGCTGTGGACACAGTAAAACCTAAAGTAATTGAAATCCTTTCTTCAGGAAGGAAGTAATGAAGTGAAATTAATGGTGTAATTTTCTCAAGATAATTGGATTTGTAGGCTGTGAAATTATCAGGATAGCTTTTGAAATTCATTAGTAGAAGTATGGTTTCATGTGTGCTCTCTATCTTTGATTTTGCAGGAGAATTAATCCTGAGTAACCAAGAAAACTGTGCCATGAATTGTAATGACTTTCATTTAAGCAGATTACTTTGTATAAAGCAGAATTTCAATTTAGTTCCAATTTTTCTTGGGGAAAATGACTTATTTTGTTGTTTCTGGAAATCAGGTTTGTGTGAGATTCTGTTTTGGTTCAAAAGTAGTATTGCAGTCCAGACTGTAATGTTTTCACAAGTTTATGCAATTTTTTCTTGCATTGATATTTTCCTTAACTGCTTACAAATAAACAAAATAATATATTAACAAGGCTTTCAGCAAAAATCAGATAATAAGACAAGTACAATACAAACACCAATAAATAATGACACTACAAAACCTGATGATACAATAACTGCACTTAGAGCTGACATGTCATTGATAGATATTTTTCTATCGCTCAATATGGTAATCCATACACATTTGATAAAATTGACAATTTTGACTTATGTCAAGAAATTATGAAACTTCACCTCTATATATAGTGAAGTGAGAAGCAGGTAATTCCATGTCTAAACTATGATTATATAGCAATCATTACATAATGATAATGGCTGGGTTTCTGATACAGACATATTTCTTAGCAGTGATGACTAAAAAAATCATGCCTATTATTTAGATTCATCTTAATTGTATAAACACAACATTTAACTGAAATCATTTAAAAAAAGTATGAAAGTGGATTAAATACAAGTAATTATCGATATATATAGGTTTATCATGGATATTTGTCATCCGATATATCATCATTATGCTTTGCATTGAATCAATGACAGTTCTAACTTCACTACAAAACTACAAAAAATATTAAATGGCTGGTAACAATCCAACAATAATTGCACTACACAACAACACAATAATTGCACTATACACCAACACAATATTGCACTACACAATAACACAATAATTGTACTACACAACAACACAATAATTGCTCTACACAACAACACAATAATTACACTACACAACAACACAGTAATTGCACTACACAACAACACAATAATTGCACTACACAACAACACAAAAACTGCACTACAAAACAACACAATAATTGTACTATACAGCAACACAATAATTGCACTACACAGCAACGCAATAATTGCACTATACAACTACACAATAATTGCACCACACAACAACACAATAATTGCACTATACACCAACACAATAATTGCACTATACACCAACACAATAATTACACTACACACCAACACAATAATTGTACTACACAAGAACACAGTAATTGCACTTTATAGCAACACAATAATTGCACTGCACAAGAACACAATAATTGCACAAGACAACCACACTTCATATTATCAGTGACATTAATTTGAAGACACAATAAATGACATAAACAAATTAACAACTCATAAACTCAACACAATAACTATAAACCTAATACAAACAACTCTCAAGAACAGTAAAACACAACTAGTAACACCACCACACAATCATGCATCTATTGCACTTGAATATCCCTATACACAAGCAGTATCACATTTACTACTCTAACACTGCTTTGAAACCTAAAATCAATCGAGGACATTGTTACAGAAACTGTCAGCGTTTTTATACTGGAGACTTCAAGACAAACAACCTCCCAAGTCAGAACACCCACTCGATGCTAATCTGTTATTTTTGTCATGGAAATTTTAAATAATCTCTTTATCAATATTGCCTACAGTTTTATAAGCTGGATAAAGGAGAGATTTAGGAGTGTGCATGGAAGTAACTATGTGCTTTAAGTAGGAAATTGCTGTAATGTTGTAACTGACGCTATTGTTTTCAATTTTATTCTCAGTGGGACCCGTGATTGGCTTTCAGGAGTATGACTTTGTGATGGCCTGGACAGCTCTTTGGAATTATATTTCTATAGTAAATGAGTGAATTTGTTCTCCAGCATTTTTTAACTGATATATTATTGAAAACTGGTGCACATAATCGTAAACTGATGCACACCTTTAAATTGCCATTTTTGGGATAAATTTGTTTCTTCTTAAAACAGATTC